TCATCTGTGTCCCGTTGATGAGCGCCAGACCCTTTGGGGCAGGGGAGAGAAGGTTCCTGCTGGGGTCTTTTTTTTTGTAACAAGCCTATGTACAGTTTGATTTAGTACCTTTTCCTTTTGTAGGAGGGGCGTTGGCCAGTCAGTCAGCTAAACGATGTTTTTTCATGTTTTCCGAGGTGTAGAATAGTAATGCTTATTCAAGCACTTGAGGAATAAGTGCCATCCTATGTGAAATCATTACTATAAATCTATAAAATTACTCTATATAGAACAGCTTTTAAGTATCCCCATTCTCAAGGCAGCAGAGTAGCTCCAATGTAGAAGGCATATAAAATCTTTAGCTCTTAATTATGCCACATTTCTTCTTTAACTTGTCATTATAGACAAGATACCCTAAAACGTTTCTGGTCCAAGACTTAGAGCTTCCTAATGGATGCTGGCTTAGAGCATCTCTTAGGGATCCCTAGAAATTCTGATTTAAATTTAAGTTCTTAACTTAAACAGAACCCCTAGGCATTTATGGCATGAAGAATCCTTTACATACTTACAGAGTTGTTTCTTCAGCGAACAACTTTCAACAAATGCATAAGCCATGTTTATTTTAAGAAATCAGTGAGACTGATACTAAGACTGAAAATAGTGCATAGAGACTTGCTGACATGAACAAATTATTCTTGAATCTCCTTACCTCCTTTGGTTTCAAAACAATTGGTTTCAATCCATGGGCTTCCAGGACCTAAAGAATGGTTTAAAAAAATTAGAATGGGTAACAAAGGAAATACCAACCTATTAATAATTTCATGAGGAACCCAATAAAAGATCTTTAAGCCCAAAGTCTGTCTTATAAAAGATTAGACCTATATGGATTAGCTCTACTTATCATCTCTGATCTATTCTCTAGTTCTGTTCTTTAGTCTGAAAGCAGACGTAGCTTTCAAATGATTTTTATACTTAAATTAAGGGCTCTAGTGTCTACAGAATCAACCCTGAATTTTGGTTTCTAAGCCCTTTGTGTTAAGTGTTTACTTCAGTGGTTCAGCTTTCTCCTGCGGCCTCCTGGGCACATGCGCACACCTGTACTGTGGGAGGGCTGGGCTTTTGACTGTCTGTCCATGCTCCCTGCCTCTGGAGCTTGACCTCAAGAGTCCTCCTACATATCTAAACACTGGCAGTACCTCAGAGCAGAGCTTCTCACTTGTGTGGCATATGTGTGAGTCCCCATGAAAGGAAGATTGTTGGCCTAACAGATGGAAAGAGAATCCTGAGGGGAAATGGGCTGAATAGTCTGTCTCTGAAATAAAAGAAGTAACAACTGTCAATAAGTGAAGGTCCCTCTAGGGAGGAAGGAAGACAGAACCAGCACCATTTACTGTGTCAATGTCCCAGGTTTATTAGGAACTTATTCCACACCTAGCTCTGCTCGGAGTGTTGGGCCGGGGCTAGGGTGGGAAAACCGGAGACAAACTCAAGGGTAACGACAGTGGCAGAATGTGAAGTGTTCCAGGAGGCGGGAAGTGGGTACAAGATGCTAGGAGGACACACAGGAGGAGCCAAGGTGACTTGGGGGTAGGGAAAAGAACCAGAGGTGCAGAGAGGGGAGTTTCCCAGAGGACTTGTCAGAAGGAGGAACAGGAGTGAGTGGGGAAGAGAAGCGGGACCCCTGCTGCCCTCTCTGCCCGGGACGCAGCACGCTCCAGCCGCGAGGACCCTCCGGCTTCTGTGATGGAGAACCCTGGAGGGGAGGGGATGATGGGTAACCTGACAGACAAGACTCTTGTAGCCAAGATAAGTTTAGAATTTCTCCTAAGGAAATGGGAAGCATTGTAGGTTTCAGCCAGGACATGCTCGGATTTGGTGTGTGAAGGTGTTTTGGGGAACGCTGCACGCAGAGAAATAATCAAGGTGATTCTGCGTGGAAGGAAGGTGGTCTGGAGCCCGTATCCCCATAAGGATTATTTGTTTCCTGAACTTCTCCCTCCCCCTTGGTCCTTTGCTTAATGTTAGGGGACCACCCAACAATAGATCAGAGAAGGCACTTCAAATCATTCTTCAGGCTGCTCTGATGGGATTTGGGGATGAATGAAGAAGAAATCATCAAAGCTTTATCAAAAACAAGCCTTTTTAATTGGCCACCGGGGTAGGAGCTTGGAGGAAAACAGAACCTCATTTCCAGAGGTCACACGGTAAGTGCTATGCTCACAGCTCAGTACCTGTGAGACCAGAAACTCAGTAAAATTGTGGCAATGAGTGACCTCTCAGAGAGGCACTGGAAGTGTTTTACGCACAGAAATTCCTGGGATCAACACCAGCACCTGGACCTTCCCCAAGGACCTTCACCAAGTCCAGAGGCTGGCAGTCGGATATGGAAGCTAGGAAGCCTGCCTAGTTTGGCTTCTAAGCTCCGGTTTTCTCATTTATAGATTAGGGATCGCTGTGGCCCCCTCCCTGGGCTGTCGGAAGGGTTAAGTGATACAGAGCGTGCCATGCACCCGGTGTCCAGCCCAGGGAAAATCCTACAGGTGGACGTTGTTGTTCAAGTCTTACGTATTTAGCGTCAGCCCAGCCGCTCTTTGGAGACCACATCTTCCCTTCTCCAATTAGCCCAAGAGCAAGATGAGAGAGTGGAGCCAGGTCGCCACTGGCACCAACGGTTCCTTTCTCTGGAACGTAGGGCAGGCAGGAGGCTGGAAGGGAAGCAGACACCAGTTACTCCAGATGAACCTCATTCTGGCAAACCTCGCTTCCTCAGCGAGATCCGGCTCCCCCTATAGGATCTAGTATCCCCTCCTGGTACAAATACCTGGGAAAAGACCATTGCTCAAGTACAGCTACAGGGACCTGGCTGAGGTGCTACAGAAAGAGGCAAGAGGAAGGAAGGAAAAAAGGGAGGGAAGGGAACAAGGGAGAGCAGGAAGGAAAGAGGCTCCTCCTAGGAACAAAGCCTTCTCTTGCAGGCTGCTTTATGTTCAGACTTTCTCCCAGGGACGGTAGGAAGCATTGCAGGTTTTGGCCAGGCCATGCTCAGATTTGCGGTGGGAAGGTGGCTAGGGGAAAACTCCACACAGAGAAACAGTCAAGGTAGGCTGCAGGGGAGAAAGGTGGTGTGGAGCCCGCATCCCCATAAAGATTACCCGTTAACTTCTTCCTCCTCCTTAGTCCTCTGCTCCTTCACTTATTGTTATTGTGCCTGTTCTAATCTGACCTAGAAATTTCTAGGGTTCTAGCAATGTATCTGAAAGACGTAATCAGAAACAAGGTTCATTATAGCTTTGTTTCTAAGAACAAAAAATTAGAAATGATCTAAATAAGGAATTAAGGGATTTTCCTATGCCCGGAAGTTGTATGTGGCCATTAAAACCTATAGGAGAATGTTTGGAAACACGTAAATATTGGCATTAGAAAAGTAATATAAAATGTTCCAGAAGGATAAGTTTCACCTAAGTGCTGAGAGGGTTTTCTGGGGACGTGAAGTCACATGCAACTCAGTCTCTTCTTTTGCTGGATCCCTGGTCTGCCACCTCACCACCGCTTATGAACGAACATGTACTGTTCTGTAGGAAATTCCTAGTAAGTTACCCAAAAAAGAGGCTTCATTTTTCTAAGTAAATTCAGACTCCTAATAGCAGTGCTTCTGTGAACTGTTAAATAATATCAATAGGATAAAGCAGTACCACCCACTGGCTAGCTTCCAGGTCAGAGTGCACCCTGGGGAATTCTCAGAGCTCTAGGGCCCCAGAAATACTTAGACTGGTCCATAAAGCGTGCATAGGTGGGTTCGTGGCCAAATTTGTAACAGCTGGGATGGTAGGGCAGGCCAGAAAGGGGGTAGAAGTAGATATTGATATCACAGCCTTATATACTATGGATTGTTCATTCAAACTGCTTTCACTGGTCGGCATATCATGTATAGGACCAGTTCTGTCCATAGCGTGGGAGCCCTAGTGTTGTTCCTGTCTGTGTGACTGCCCAGCCCTGCTTTTCCTCCCATTCCTTCACCCCAAAGAGTCCCCAGGAATCTGCTGACCTAGAATGTTTATCCTTATCTGTGAAAACGGACCATGGCCTCTCAAGCATTTCAAATCTTGTCTCCGTATTTGAATTTTCCTATCCCAGAAAGTAAGCTCCAAAGAGTTGAGCTGCAAGCAAGTCTTTAATCTCTTTTATTTCTTTTCAGTTCTATTTTTTTGGATTTCAGTTATTGAAGTCTGATGATGGCATGCACTAACTAATGCACTTGAGGAGCATTAAGATTGAAGATTCCCAGGCACCAACCAGAACTAAGTCAATCTTTGGGATGGACATCCGGGAATCATTACGTTTCCCAGTGATTTGATGCTACATCTATAACCACCTTTGGGCACCACCGAATCAAAGTTCTCCCCACCCTGAACTTAAGACCAGACTCAGGGAGCTGGTTCCAGTCCTAAAAATGCCAAATAGAAAGTGATGAATGATGGAGAACGGGTTAAAGTACACAGGAGTAAGTGTCTCTGCCACACCTCCCCCGTCCAGCTATCCTCCTTCTTGCAAAGCCCATTTTCCACTCACCTCCATTATCCTTTGTGTTCTTGTCTCATCCAATTTCCCACCAGCCCATCAATCAAGTCTACCTTATGGGATATGCCCAGCCTCAATGGAGGGCCAGTCGGGGATCCATTGCGTTACCATTAAATACTTCGATAACTTGTTTGAGGGTCTCCAGGGAAATGCCACTGTATCCTTTGGCTAAGACATTGATCCTTAAAGCCAAGAGCATCCGACATCTCTCAGGAACTAGTGGTTTCCCAACACCTGCAAGACAATTGAAAAACAAAATCTTTTCCACCTCCTGGCTGCCTTCATCTCTCAAATCTTTCTTCACTTCTTTTTTTTTTCCCCCTGAGACAGCTATTGGAAAATCTGACTGATCACTAATGGGTATTACAAGACCACATAAAGTTTGTGTTATGTTTATATTGGACAGTGCTGATCTAGGCAATGAAAATAAGTAAGGGTTAAGAAAATGTTCCCAATAGGCTGAACGCTAGCAATGGAGCAGAAAGAAAACCTGGTGGGCAAATGTTTTGTGGTCATGTCCACGGCAAATGAGAAACTGCATCCTAAAAGCCTTGGTAATGACCATTTTTTCTTCGCTCCTTGACTCAGGTAGTTGGACTGCTCTCCCTACTGACTGCCTTGCTTCTTAAAATCTTATCTTCCAGACAAACGTGAAACTCCAGTTTTGCCTTCTCAGTTTCCCTTCTTGGAACACTCCAGTGAGTCCCCAGTCTCCACCCAACACCCTTAGCACAGCGTCCAGGCTCCTCAGCACATGTTGCCTCACATTCTGACGGGAGCTGATTCTCGACAGACTGGCCGATTTTAACTTGTCCTGCACAACTCACGTCCTGACTTTCAGCTTTATCTTTGTTCCCAATCCTCTCTCCCTGCGGAGCCCATTCCTTTTTCTGAGATTCAGCCAGAAGGTGGTCTTGTCTGATGTTTTCTGCTTTCTTCCTCTCCTGAAACACCCATCCTTGGAATACACAAGCTCTTCATGGCTCTAACAGGAAGCATCGCACTTCATTGGGCCAATCAAACAAAACCTAGGAGGCACCCAACGTTTGCAATGATTTACCTGAAGAATGTGAACGTACTAGGTTGAACTGGAGCTCCCTGAAAGAGAAAAAGAACAAACCTCTCTTAGACACCTCCTGGTGAAAATGTGCCCTCATCTGGTGAAGTGAGGGGACGGGCAGTTCCGTCATTGCAAGGACAGAGTGAGGCAGCATGCAGCAATGGAAGAAACCAGCAAGCCTGTGTTTTCAATACTAACTCATGCGCAAGTTAACCCAAGACTACGCCCCTCCTATGTAAATTGGGGCAGATATTATTTCCTTTGTTGAAAGAAATCTGAAAAATGGGGGTTGGTGGCATTTGAATGTGCATGCATTTGGCAGGAGAGCAGGAATCAAACTTACTCCAGTTTTTTGATAGGAATTACAGTTCTGGCAAATTTCCCAAAACCTGTAGTAATGCCATAAACAACTGCAATTAAAAAAAGAAAAACCAAACAGATGTTATCCACTTAGTGCAGGCCATATTTTTTAAGTCTATAAAAATAATTGTATGACACAAAGGGGAAAAGATACCAGTTTGTTCTTTTATGATGCTATCTATGACTTCCCTGGATCTTTGCACCTTCTTTTCAGCAGTTGGGGTGAGCTAGGAAAACATTGGTTGGAGTTGAGCACATTGAATATTTCCACATGTAGCAAAAAGGGTCAGAGGACAACCTTCCCTCCTCCATACCTTTATTTTGTAGTGCCCCTTGCCCAGGTTGACCAGGTCCTCTGTGGTCAGGCTCTCCCCATCTAGGGCGAGGTACTGCACAAAGGAAGGGGTCTTCATGAATCTGAACAGCTTATTTGCTTGAACAAGAAAGTAGGGAAGCCTCAAGCAGAACCAAGCTCTGACACTTCAGAGATTTTGTTTCTACTAATTAATGGGCTAATTTAAAAGACAGCCTCCTGAAGAGGAGGCTGAGCAAGGAATGTTGGAAATGGAAAGACATAACGCCTTTCCCTACTACCCAGGGCCAGACAAAGTTCTGTCCCATTGGATAGTGTTTACTCATAAGTTTTGTTAACGCTCCGGAAACGACGGGGACTTAATTTCTTTAACAAAGAGCAAGTGGCTTGCAGCTTACCTTTTCAGGCTCCCGGTATTTGCTGTATCTGAAGCCAGGTAAAGGAAAATACTGGGGAGTGTGGAAGAGGCCCAGCCCCACCACTGGCGGGAGCCTGCCAAGCAGGCCAGGGAGCCTGCACAAAAGGATACAGGTAAACTCCTTCTGGCTGTGATGGAATGAAGTCAGGAGACATGGCATCTCCTTCAATGACTGAAACAAGAATGTGAGAACGACCCCTTAGTGATCACAATGGAGAGCCACTTTGGGTCTTGCTGGTAAACCAAGGAATGTCTCTTCAATTGCCTTCAAAGTCTATCGAAATGGCTGCTTTAAAAATGACTTCAGACACTTAAGTCCTCTTAGCATCTTTACAAGGAAGGACAAACAGCAGGGATGTAGGTGGACCCAGGTTTAAATGAAAGGTCAAGATCTAACCCCCACCTCTATCCCCATCCCAGCTCTATTTTGTTTTACAAATCTGAACTCCTCTCTGCCACTGGCCTCTTCACCTGGTGAGGGTGTTTTGAAGGGCAAAAGAATCTTCTTTAAGTGTATAAAAATACTTGCATAAGCCCTGGCTGGTGTGACTCAGTGGACTGAGCTCTTGCTTGCGAACTAAAGGGTTGCTGATTCCATTCCCAGTCAGGGCAAATGTCTGGGTTGAGGGCCAGGTTCCCAGTAGGGGGCGAGCAAGAGTCAACCACACATTGATGTTTCTCTTCCTCTCTTAGTCCTTCCCTTTCCCTCTCTAAAAAGAAATAAATAACTAAATCTTTAAAAAAAAAAAATTATATAAGACAAAGTAATTCAATAACTGCAAAAACCCGCAGTCCTGAGTTCAAATCTGATCTTTACTTCTAACCAACGGCCTGACTGATCTCCTTCGGGAATCTGTTGCCCTGTTTTAAAAGGGGGATTCGAATGCCACCTTTCTCGCAGTGGTGTGTGAGAATCTGAGGCACAAGGAGGCCTAGCTGCAGCACCTCGCCCATCCCCCCACCCCCACCCCGCAGCGTGCCTTTCCCCAGCACTGGGGATGACAATGGGACCTCCCTCCCAGGGACACGAGCACTAAGCCACGTCATGCGGCATCAGTTTGCGTCTCTCCCCTCCAGCCACTCACCCACTTCCACGAACTCATTGTCCTCCAGGGCCACCTCCAGTGGGTCCTCATTGTCCAGCAGGCCCAGGCCCTTGCAGCGGCGCACGAGAAAGCGCACATCGTCCACCGAGGTGAAGCCACCGTTGTCCGGCTTGTTCTTCATGTACCGTCGCACGGCCTCGCGTCCCAGCCAGCCCACGGTGAGTTGCGCGTCCCGGCAGGGCACAGCCAGCCATTCCCCGCGCACATGCACCGTGTACCTGGGCATGGCTCTGGTCGCTCCTGCGGCCCAGCGAGGCCGCCGCAACCAGTCTGCACCTGCTCCTCTGCAGGCGACAGTTACAGGTGACAGCAGGGGTGGAGAGTTTTATCTAGCAGTGACTACCGAGGTGTGGTGGGTGGGGAAGGCGAGGATGGGCTTTCAAAATATGCCACCGCCCTTGCCTTCACTCATTCAGGCGTTGGACAAATATTTATTAAGGGCCCATGGTGTCCCTTTGGGTTTTTGCAGCTGAGCTAGAGGCCGGAGAGGGGGCCGCAGGCAGGCCAGCCATTGGTGCACCTGCCATGCAGCCCTGTTGGCAGAACGGCCTGGGGGTCCTGGCGGCCGCGGGTACCAGCTGCTGGCCCTTTTTCTCAGGGCTCCTGGTTTTTCCCTTCCCCACTCCTGTCTGCAGTGTCTGCTATTACAGGCACCTTACAAACACCATGTTCCTGTCTTTATCTGGAATTACTCAACTGAAATATACCCTTCTGGCCAACTGTGACACCAGGGAGTGTGGCAATCCTCACTTACCTGTTTATTCCACAAACGTGTGTTGAGCAACTACTCTGCCACTGCCAAGGTTTTCTGAGGCTGCCCCTCCACGGAAGGAGGCTGCAAAGGCCAGAGATCATTTTCACGACCAAAGGTCATTGTCTGGACAGAAGAGCCACACGGGCTTAAAGGTTAACAGCTCAGACAGCTGTGGGTGGGATTCTACTGCTTACTAGCCTCCAGCCAGTAAATTCTTAAATAGCTCCTGTTTCCTCCTCAGAAGGGAAAAGTAACAAATGCCTCGCTGCAGTACTTTCCGTATCTGCCCGGGGTCAAACCCTGGCTCTGCCTTTTCTAGCTGAGTGACCTCTGGCGAGTTATTTGACCTCTCTGGGCCTCAGTTTCTTCACCTATAAAATGGAGATAATGATAGTACCTATTGCAAAGGGCTGTTGAAAAGATTGAGTTCAGAGATGTAAAGCCTGTGAAGCAGCAGCTGGTACACTGGAAATGCTACAGAAATGTTTGTGATTATTATTTGGACTTTAATACTCTATATACCTGTATTGCTTTATATATGTTCTTTCATCTTTGTGCGTGAATATCCCTAATCCAGTTAAGCTTCTTCAACACAGATAACTGCTCCCTACATCAAATTCATTACCACTAGTATTAAGAAAGTCTGAAGAGTGTGAAGAACATTGGGATGTGGGCACTAGTCTAGTAGCAGGCACATGGTTTAGCAGCATTTTAGTAGAAAGCGAGTATCCAGAGATTTGATTAACACAACAGAAAGATCCTAAAAGGTCTGTTCCTATTAAAACAGATTTCTGCTGGGACTAGAGACACAGTGGTTCACAGAAAACACCCATTTCCAGCCTTGCTTTCTCTGATAGGGTCCCAGGATGGGTACAAATAAAGAGCTACCACACTTTGAGCCTTATGGAAACTTGCACTTGAGCCCCCCTGAATCCTGACCACACCCTGGAATTTGTCATCACCTGAATTTGATACGCGTAAATCTTAAATTCCAGTATGCACCTTCTAACCGTGACCTTATAGCCTTCAGCTCGCCCCATTGCTTCAGTCATCTCTGCCCTTAGGACCTCACCGCTGGTTAGTTCTCTCTTCCCTCCACCTCCACCTGCTTCCTCACTGCTTTCCTAGGAGACTGGTCCTGTAGCTGCCTCCCCCGCCCCCCACCCTGCCGCCCGGACCACTTTCTTGAGCACTTTGCGATTCCTTTATATAACACTAAACCTATGCCTCCGCTCGGAGTAAAACCCGGCTCCTGGGTCACCACACGAACTGCCATCTGTGTTCACCCAGGTGCAAGGCTCTGCTCCCGAAAGCCCCGTGACAGTGTGGACCGTGGTATTGGCCTTCTTCTTGCCTCTCTGAGTCTCGCCCCCCGCCCCGCCATTTTCCAAAACATTCACCCACTCCTCAAGGACTGGTCAATATCCACCTCCCCCACTTCTCAGAGGAAGACCTTACCTCCTACATCTCGGAGAAAACGGAGGCCTTTTGACACAGAGCACCTTAACTCTCTGCTCTCTTCCATTCACTCATTCCAGGAATATTTTTTGAACGCCTGTTCTGTCGCAGGGTCACCAGCATTATGTTAGGTGCTGGGGATGAAATAAATCACACACATTCTCTGCCTTCATGGTGCTTTCTCTCTGGTGATGGATGCAGACATATAAGGACGACTATCAGTCCAACTATCCCCTGCACTGTGAGAAAACCCAAACTGAGCCCCGCTTTTGAGGAATCCCAGGCCAGACACAGGATATCTGAGGGGCAATACCAGCGCCAGCAATTTGAAACATGCCCCGACACTTGAGGATCTCAGGCACAGGCTCTAGATAAGGCAGAACAGAGATAAACTATTTCCATTGGCTCTGCCCAAATTCACGACCCAAAACCCCATAAATCTATTCCTTTACTTGTGTTATTCTTTTCCCACCTGGAACACACTTCCAGCTTTCTTTGCTTGGTTAGATCTTTTTTATTCCTTAAGACTCAAGTTTATGCCTTCTCTTCAGAAAGCATTCCCTAAACCCCTTTCTCGGGGCTGTTTCAGCATACCTCTTCTTTAGCATTTTATAGAAATTACTTATCTTTGTTCACCTATAAATTATGTGTACATCCAGTCTGGCACGAAGATGCTCAACAGATTATTAGCTGAAGGGAATAAATGGAGACTCCGGTAAGCCAGCCCCAGGTAAACCTGCTTGGGTGTTTGTCTTTAGCGCCCTCTACCTCCCTCATAGCACCTTCCACACCACCCTTCCAGAGTCCCTTCCTTCAATTCACCTTCAGTAGCACTGATCGGTGATACTGAAAAATGGCTTTAGCTTAGAATGTGGGGTAAGCCTAGAGCGCCAGAGTCACCTTCAGAAGTATCACATGCGCTCAGGGATGTGCTGACACCCGACCACTTAGAATGTGATTATAGGCCAGGGATTTGAACTGAACTCTCGCCTCTGGTGTTTCTGGCACGGAAGATAGGTGAGAACAGAACCTTGAGGAAGAGAGTCACAGTGCAGTGGACACGCGCCCACGGGAGAGCGAGAGCAGCGGTCTCAGGATTAAGAGGGATGGACAGGGAGCTGCCTCTTTGACATCTGCCTCCCCTTTTGGGTGTTTGCTCCTGTTTTGAGGCTTCTGTCACTGCATCGGCACTTTTGGGGGGTATTTAATAATGATATAACCCCCTCCCCACCCCCACACACATTTATACTCAAAACACCATTCCTCTTTGCTAGAGTTTATTTGGCCAGGCGTGGACTCAACCTGGGTCAGTCTCACCTCTGCAAATTTGGAATTAAGAGTTTCTCCACATGGAAAGAATTATTTGCAACAGTCAAGGCTGGGCAGCCAGAGAAACAGAAATGGACCAGGGTGTCGATGGCTCTGCAGGCAATCCCCTTCCGTCTGTCACAGGTTCTAATAACCTCCCTCTGCCCTGTATCCTTAAAATAACCCTATTCCCTTTCTGACTTCTAGTCATTTGGGTCGCTGTCAGTGACAAAGCCTAATTGAACAGTGGTTCCCAAACTGTGTGCCGAGGCACCGCCTGGCATTCGCAGGCGTACTTTGCTGCTCTCTTACTTGAATCAGGTGGTTGTATTGTTTCCAACCTTCCTACGTGCTGTAGGCTGTGTGGGGGAAGAATGTTTGCCGACCACTAAAGAGATGAAGCGGGTGGAACAGACCCTCAGCAGGCTGATGGGAAGCACTGGTGTTTAGGGGCGTCACCAGGCCCTAATGGCCAGGAGAGGACACGCCCAGTGGATTGGCAGGTGGATCCAGGCATGAGGGACAGTGTCCCCACCAGAGTTTCCATGTTTTGATAAAGGAAGTTCATCCTATATCCACCAGCTGGTCTGATGAGCAACTCCAACTGAGTGTTCCTGTTTATTGCTACCTAAAAGGCAAAACCCTAATTGTGCTGAATTCTTGGTGTGCAGCAGATTCAAATTACAGAACTTAAAATAACAGGTAAATATGCTGACATATTCTGTGACCATACTGGGACAAAATAAAATATGAAACCGAAAATTTTACATTTATAAATCAAAAGACTAAACTTTTATAAAATTGACTTTATAAAGAACATGCCCGAGGAGCGGGTGGTTGGTGGGGGGTAAGGCAGCTCAGCTTTATTTATGAAAATCCCCGACAAAACAATACAAAGCCAAAAGTAAAAAGACATTTCTAGTTGTAACAGGAGCTGCAGTTTTATATGTCTTTATGAATTCAATTTAAAAAAGAGAAATGTCTGAAAGGAGCAGCGAGCAGGTCCTTATTCCACCTTTAAATCTTTCCCCACCAGCATGGCAGTCACCGGGTGCATCCTGGCTTTGTGCTCCTGGTAGGTGCGGAGGGCTCGGTCACGGGACTTGCCAAAGGCAGCCAGGTCCCTGCAGAAAAAGAAGAAGGAGGGATATCGATTTGTTTCGTTGCTTTGGAAAATTTTATTATACTTGCAAAGTAAACGAAAAGCAAACAGATTAATCATGGATATGTATGTCATGACTATTTTTTTTTTCAGAATTCCTGCCAAATCCATAGTCAAAATAACTTCACTGAGATGAGTTTTTAATGTCTCCTGAAGGCAAAATGCAACTTTTTTCCTTTACCAAGCATTCCTTTATGTTCAGCAACCTACTCTTTCACCTCACTGCAACACCTGAATCAGAAAAAACATTGGTTTTACCTGCTCAGTTCTTCTTCAGACATTTTTCTTGTCCTTGCCTACTCACCAATTGTCCTGTACTGCTTTTAAAGATCTTCCTGTGTCTATAAGGTTGCCTTTGATTTATTTACTTTTCATTAGTGTCCAACCCTATTTGGTCCCAAAGAGGTACACCATAAAAAAGCAAATGAAATTATCTCAAATTTTAAATATTTGTAAGTCTTAATTCCTATGCAAAAATCCCATCTATAATCTTTAAAAAACTTAAAAAATATGTATTATTTTTAGATTGCATTTTACAAAGCATTTTAGCAACAACAAAAACATTTGCTTAAGAATTTTTTTCTTCCCCATCCTTACATAAATTCAAAACATAGTTTGATTTGGTTCTTACTTGTATAAGGGTCGTGTAAACTTCATTCTTCCTTGTTCAGTCACCATTTTTAGAGCCAAAGGAATTGCTTCCTCCCATTTCGATTGAATGCAGAGCCGCAACCATCTGAAAGGAGGATTTTTAGCGGATATGAGGTAGGAAAGGAGAAGGAAGAGCAGGATGTGACAGGTACACATGAACACAATTCCTGTAATGAGGAGTCACCCCCTTATGGGGACACTGCACACCACTCTATGTTATGTCTTTATTCTGAGAATCTCAAATACTGACACATACAATTTAATAATTAGAGAAGAGAAGGAAGAGGAATTTGTTCCTTAAAAAGATCATACATTTTAAAAGGTTGGAGTAAGGAGGTGCTCATGTACCTTATATATGCAATCTGAAGGAATTAAGAGTTTGGTTTAAGTCTCACACTACCAATTTGAATTAAGAAAGATTAACCACATAACAGAATCAGAGATTTTTTTTTAACTATTCCTATTTCAGAGTCAATTTGGCTAGTTGTGGAAGAATGCCTATTTACCATTGAATCCTTAAGCCTAAACTTTTTTAAAGGTGAGAGCTTAAAACAGATGCTAATAAAAAGATTAATACTATCATCTTATAGGTATTGCAACTATTCCTTAAAAAACACTAATTATTTATATAGAAGCAATAAATTTGACGAGGATTTCTCAAGACTTATACTCTGCTTTCCCTTAATCCACCCTTGAAACTAGTTTTCTACTTTCTTCCACAGAGACAAGTTAAAATGATGTACCTGAATCGTATTTCAGAATTGTTAATGGCATTGAAGTTGTACACCTCTTGCATTCGCTTTATGTGCCCCAATGGAAGAGGTGCCTAAGAGCAAAATAAAAAAGTGTAACGTATCATTTCAACAGGATTCCTTGGAAGAAAGGAGCTAGAGAGAAATTCTTAGCCAGATTAAAATCCTAAATATTTTATAATATAAAAGTTAGATAAAAATAAAAGAAACAAATGCACCCTAAAATAAGTTTTGTGCAAACTTATTCTGGATAAAGATGTTCTACTGGGAGCAGAAGGATAATTTAATTTGTGAGGTACATAGAGAATTTAAAGAGAATTATGCTCTTTGGGCTTTTTAGTATGTATGAATATCAACGTTGAGATTCTTTCCACAGTCTTTCAAGTTCCTCTTTATACCTTATATATTTTAAATTTATTCCATTTTCCAGATTAAATCATAGTTTCTTAATTTTGTCCTCACTAATTCCCTCCCAGCATTATCTCTGCATACTTCCTCTGAAATCCCTTTACTATTAACTATAGTTCTACAAGACAGTAGTGTTTAAACTTTTACATTACAGACCCCTGTCAGAATCTGAATAATATGGACCCTTTTTTAAGGGGAAAAAAAAACATTTACCATATAAACACAAACTTGAATTGTATAAATACAATTTCAGGAGGTTCATAAACCTCCTGTGCCCATCTTAACCCACGCTAACAAGGAGAACACCTTTGGGTGAAGAAAAGCAAGGCGAGTTCACTTTGGACAAGAGTCCGAGGCACCCGTGAAGTGCAGGCTGAAGTGCCACCAGGTCAATGGTAACTGTGTTCTCCAGCCTCCACCTCACCTGAGAAAACTCACGAAGCATCTCTGCTCTTACTGATAGCTACACCCTTCCCAAATGACTTTGTTTTAACTAAACTGCAAGCCCAACCTGCGAGGTCAGCTGGTTAGGTCCCTTCTAGGCCCCCTTGCTCCTCCCAGGTTTGCCATCCCCATTTCCAAGTCCTCCGGTCACATTCCTTCTTTCTGGTCCCAGGCCACTCAGTGGTGCTACAGACATCTGTGAGGCCGTGGTGACTTGAGGTGCTATAATTGATTCTCTAAGGTCCCTCTTGCCTTACAATCCTATTCCTCATTTTGCATCGATTCCCCCGGAAGTTCTGTTCAAAGTCTCCCCTCTCAAGGTCCTTAGACCTGAGAGCTCCCTGTCAGGTAACAGCAGAGACCCAGTCACCATCTTCCTCTCAAAATGCAGCATCTCCTTTTGGTGTCACATCTTCTTTTAATTACCTGGGCCTGAAACCTTAAAATCTGCTTGAGCTCTTTCCTGTTAACCTCCAAATCCAGTCAGTCACAAAACCCTGTGCTTTCATCCTGCGCGATGTCCCTCTCATCTGTCCTGTTCTTTCCCTTCCCACCAGCTCCGCCCTCATGTCCTAGCCTCCCACAAGCCCCCCCTCCGACCTGACGTCACCACCAGCGTTCCCCGTGTCAATCCAGCCTTCACGTCACCAGCACAGCAGTTTTCATAACTGCCATTTCATCAAATGACTCGCTTGTGAAAAATGTTAAATCCTTGCCCTGGCAAGTGTGGCTCAGTTGGCTGGAGTGTTGTAAACTGAGAGGTCATGGGTTCAATTCCTGGTCAAGGCACATACATGCCTGGGTTGTGGGTTCGGTCCCCAGTCAGGGTGTGTGCAAGAGGCAGCCAATCGATGTTTCCTTCTCACATCACTGTTTCTATCCCTCCCTTCCCTGCTCTCTAAAAAGCAGGTCCTCCAGTAAGAATTAAAAATAATAATAAAAAATAAATAAAGCTCTTTCAAAAAAAATGAAAAAAAAAATGTTAAATCCTTTCCTAGAGACTAGAATAAAATCTAAAATGCTTAGCATTTAAGACTTACCCCATCTGACCCTACCAGTGTCATCTTCATTAACTTCTTCACCAGAGATACGACTTAGCCTGCAACACTGGGCCCGCTCTGTCCCTTGCTGCTCCCTCTGACTTGCATTTCTCCCTCCCTGCTGAAACCGCTCTGCTCAAGGCAAGCCCTGCTCCTCCGAAATCCCTCCTTGATTATGCCAGTTGGGGGTCCTTCTTCCGAATTAAGTTTTTCTCAAGTGACAACTAAAATATACCTCCTTTTATTGCTAAATTTTGCATGTGTGACCTTTCTTTCTAGACTATATATTTCTTATGTATATTTTTATATTCAGCACAATACTAAGCATGGCAGGCATTCAACAAATGTTTTTAAGTAAATGAATGAATGTTATAACTTTTTTTCTATTAGTTTCCACATTAATATTGGAACCCACATTTGGGTTCCACATTTGGTTTCCACATTTAATGTGGAACCAAGCTGGGTTCAACATAAATGCTGTGCCTTATGCCCATTCTAACTTCCAGGGTTTTGAGCTAGTACTTACTTTCTGAAGCAACTGTGCTAAAAATTCAATCAACTGGTGAGAGGAGAGATCTTTCAGGTCTGCTGAGCTGAATGAATTTAAATCCTCTTCTTTGGCCTAAAATAAATGTTACCTGGTTATTTCTGTTCATGTACAATTCAGTATTTATTGGTTTATTTGACATAAAAGTAAAAATTAAGAAAAAAGGCAGAAATACAAGAATATATGAAATTATAAAAAATAAATTTAAGCTTTAGCTACTTTAATATTTCTGAGATTGTCACTGTATCTATAATTCCTAGTATCTATATTACTTAAAAAAAATTAAACTGTTAATCGTAAGAGTGGAGGAAACTTTTGACATCCTTTATATCATTCACGCTCATCTGTTTTTTTATTACAGGGATCTCAGCTAACAACTCAGAGGGTACAGAAAAACTATTTTTCCTCCTCTACAAGAATTAGTCCTAAATTTTTCCATTAAAGAATTATCCAAGGTTTATACTCACTCTGGCTTCCCTAAGGGTTACGTTTCAGTGTGTGCACGAAGATGCTGCTCTTTATGAAGTCTCCAAGAGATGGACAATAATCCCGACACAGCAAAAGTGCCTCAGCCCTTCCCTAGCAGTTAGCATTAGCAGCCACTCAAGATCATTTGAGATTTATATGGTATGTGCAGCAGCTGTATTTGAAATAGTAGCTTACAAATGATTTGTGAGGAAAGGAGAAGATGCAAATATTTTTGCATACTTTTTTTAAGAGTTGAAAAAAAGCAAGAAAAGTCAGAACCAATGTTGTCAACATCTACTTGTTTTCCCCCTTCAACTTCACACATTGGGGGCTGATATAGTATCCCATCTCTTTGGACAAATGACTTACAAAGAGCCTTTCCAAATACGTGAGCCCATGAGTAAAGTACCCATCACCCCTGGCCCCACCACCTTCACGCACAGAGACATATTTGTACAATTCAAATAGGAGTCAAAAGTCACCAATTATTACTCACAGTAATCCATCTTTGACTTAAGGCAATGCAAGCATTTGTCAGAGTCATGTCATAACTGCAAAGATGAAAAAAATATTAGATTAAATTGATAAAAATGCTTTTGTATAAATGCGATTTTGAAGTTACAGAACATACTTAAACGTCAAAGTTATTTTTAAATAAAGGTCAAGAACTCCAGGGTGCTCGGAATAGGAAATCTTCTGCCTGACTTAAATATTACCGGCATCATCCAAGAACTTGGAAATCTAACTGTATACCCAATGAATGAAACTCCTGAATAGTCTCTGGAGAGAATGCCAAACAGCTCAGCCAAGGAGGTCACGGGCTTCAGTAGTAGCTGCCGAAGGAGCTGGGCCTCCACTGAGCACGGCAAGGGTCCCCTGTACAGCAGGGGCAGCTCTGGGCACTCGGGACAACAGGGTCCTCCAGACCGAAAAGGACCACAGATCCTGGATTACTCAGGCAGCAAATAAATCCCCTTCAACTAAACTTTACTTATTTCAAAAGGAACGCTAGATAGGAGAGTAAAAAGCCTTTGGCTGGTCTGTTTCTTGGTGGCCTGAAATTTCCTTCTGTTGTGATGAAAAGAACTAGGTAGGGCTTAGCCCAAGGAGGGAAGCAACCCTTTTTGTGGCAAGGTCCGAAGAAAGGTAATGAGCAAACCCAGATACTCTCACGGTGCTTCAATGTAGTGAAGGAGAAAGAGGCTAATAATCACACCAATAAATATAAAATTGCTACTGTGGCAACCGCTGTGAAGAGGCAATATAGGGCACCAAGAAACCCCAAAATGGGAGACTTGGCCTGGGCAGAGAGGTCAAGCAATGCTTCCATGATGGAGTACTTCTTGTGCTGAGATTGGAGTGGCCTGGGTAAAGAATACTCCACATGAAAGGGGTGGCATTCCTGGTCAGGACACGCAGGAGTTTGCATCCTCAAGTGACTTGCAGAAAACCGGGGTTCGGGTGCCTGACTGAGGAAGGTGCTTAGTTTAAAAGGCTCTATATTGGAGGGGTTAAGACAGCAAACGTTTGAATCTCAACTCCTATTTCTTACTTGCTGTGTAACCTTGGGCAAGACGCTTTTTGTAGATAAGCCTCAGCTGCCTCCTCTGGAAACAAGAATGGTAACTTCTAACACTGTTATGCTGATTAACAGAGTACGCAGGTTATTTTTCTTACTGCAAATGTTTTCAAGGAAAGGGCAGTATCTTACTCTTCTATCTCTCACCATCCTTGTACAAAAAGGAGGCTCTAAATAATTACTTGCAATGAATTAAGCTGACTTGTATTTAAATACCCTGTTCTTTGGACCTCAGGTATGAGGTTCTAACACCTAAGAACTCCACTCTCATCACTAACTAGTAGTAACAGCTTCAGGAAGGCAGGCCACCCTTTCAGACATTCTGAGGAGCGCCGGGGCTTGGGAGGATGAGAAGGAGGCCATTAGCCAGGGAGTGGGCGGGGGTACTGACTTGGGTTTCACAGGAGGTGGTCCCGGAGAGTAGAGCCAGGTATTCCAATCAACTTGATTGAGGATGTCAACCTGTCAGCAGTGAGAACATCCGGTTTTCTACAGAACAATCTTTTCTCTTAGAAAAAAAAATCTAAAACTGACTTTTAGGTCCTTAAATCTATAATCTTGTCTATACTGGCATGTCCAGATAATGTCTTTGTCAATAGTGGCATCTCCAGATAATCTCTAAGTCTCATTTCTAAAATAAATTTATATTAATAGTGTTCTGTTAAATAATTAAAATATGTAAAGTGCATACAAAAATAAATTTGTAAAACACTATTGCAGATCTCTCTGAAACAGTGTAACTCCACACACTAGCTCATGTTGTTGAGATATTTTAAATAGGGAAAAAATAGAATGCAAGATTGAGTCTTAAATTCTAGACCAGTACTAGTATTAAGTAATTCAGATCAGCCTAACAAATAGCTATTAAAGATATATTGGGCATGAAAAATAAAAGAACTCTTAAAAGCCAACCTTATCTTTAAAGTGAAAATACAGGAAATCCTTCCAGTCATCAGTGGTTATGCTCTTGTAGGAAAATTTCTCAACATAGGCCTTTAAGAATCCTAGGAAAACCTCTAAGAAGTAAAAAAAAAAAAGTCTATTAATGGAAAGGTAATTATTTAACTTTTTTTTTTTTTTTTCTGGTGTTTAGCATTGTACTGTTAACCATAACTTTCAGAGAAGAGGGAAGTCAATGAGGACTGTTTAGAGTGAAAGAATGTTCAAAAAAGGAGGTGGGACTTACGTTGGGACTTGAAGAATATATGTACTTTGGTGGAAGGGAGAAGAGAAATTACAGGTAAGGAATCACACAATGAAGACACAGAAAAAAGAATACACATCACAAGTTCTAAAAGCAATGACCCTAGTATGGCCAGAAACGATGAACAGAGAGCACTTAAGCGTCCAGCAAGGGGGAAGGTTACACAGACTCAGCACCTCCATACGATGGAATACTATGGTGGCATCAGAAAGTATAAGACAGGTTTGCATGTTCTGACATGGAAGGATATATGTGAAATATTGAATTGAAGAAATGTAGACTATATAGTATGCTTCCTTTTTTGTAATTAAAATAATCACACACATGTATTTGTCTCTGTGTTCATGCACCCTTCGAAAAAGATCTGGAGCCACGCACGCCACACTGCAAACAGCGGTTGCCTCTGCCGAGTGGGAAGGGGCTGAGGGGCTCTTCCTTGTTATTCATAGACTATACCACGCACATTTTTTTCAGTGAATGTATACTACTTTCCTAATTTTTAAAAAACTGATGAGTGTTTTTTCATTCAAGCAGCACAGTTCTGAACTCAGTGGTTAGTCAAGGTTTTAAGTAGGGAGGTAATGATATAGATTTCTTCAGTAGCTACATACAGAAGGAACTGGAAGAATAAAATGGAGCAAAAACAACAGTTAAACATTCTTCCTTATTCTTCACATTATTCTTAAAAAAAAAAAAAAAAAATCTGAAAATGCCAATGACTTACCTGGTCCTCCAAGAAGCTGCTCAAGGTAGAAGAGCAAAGCAAAGCCCTTCTCATAGGGAACTGAAGAATATGCTACATCCGGGTCTACGTTCGTCAGATCAACCACAAGTTTGGTGAAAGGATGTGTATCCCCAAAAGTCTTTATCTGCACAACACAAAATGAGATGAATGTTCAAACAGGAAGACTAGTTACCACCATGCAAACGCGCTAAGGGGGAGGGCTAGCTTCCCTCAGGGGCATAACTTTAGGGAAGTCTAGAACATACACAGCTTAGAGACTGGACACTGCAGGATACGTTAGCATAAATTTCTGGGAGTCTATTAATGGTATTTCTTGCCCAATAATAAGCTTTATTCTTGTAAAAGACCAGAAAAATGTTTCAATGCCTGGTCAACAAATTCAGCTTTCAGAAATCACACTTAAAAATGACAAATATACCAAATGAAACTGAAACAGAGTAACTAACTCTTTTAATTGTGAAGACCAATGAGGTTGTACTAGTCATGAATACATTTATGGTAGGGTTCAACAGAATACTTCACCAGCACCTTCTTGATTTTCCACACCTATAAAAAGGATTCTCTTGTTGTTACTTAGGACAGATGCTTTTCCAACCTCAATTTTTGAACACCTACACAACTTTGGATGATTGCTTTTAAAAGTATGACTCATTTACCGAATTCTGCAGTTCTCCCCATCCTCCCAGGGCATGAAAATGTCTGAACTTTTCACCAAACAACCGTCCACAAATGTGGCGTTCCAAGTATACAGTATGTCCTTCATTTAACCTGAAAAAAAAAATTAAAATAAAAACAGTGTCATAGCTGAGAGGAAAAGGAATCCTAATCAATGAGGCATTTTCTTTTTGGCTTTTCTTCAGTGTAAAGCAATCGCAAAGCATGACCACTCCGGCCCAGGCAGGCTGCCTCGGTGGCTTCCCTGCATTCAATTCAGAACAATGGGAAGCCCAGCCAAGCAGAGGGCAGCAGGGAAAATTAAGCGATGGTTCTGGATTTAGGTGTCCACGAACTGAAATGTGACTATCCCAGAATCTAAATAACAAGCATAAACTGAATGCCTCCATTCAACCTAACACTTTGACAGTGTTACAGAATTAAAACAAAGAAAATCTACCAGAGACGATATCAAGGAAAAGCAAGATATACACACAAAACAGTTAGGAGTGGTGGGAAGCAGGGAGATAAGTAAATAAAAACAAGAACCAATAAATAAGAATAATAAATTTTACCAAAAGTGATCCCAAGTTTTGTTGGTCACTAGATTTCCTGTCCAACTGTGAGATATTTCGTGTGCAATAACCTAAAGGAAATAGTGAACGAAATCAGTAGTAAAACTGATTACCTTATTCTAAAGGAACTCATTATATAAGCATTCTAGTTCTTTCCATTCCAGTTGTTCATTTTTTTTTAACATTTAGCTGAGAGGTTCACATGGTTACTCAGTTCAGCAAAAAATAATTTAGCTCATTTAAAAAATATTAAATGGGTACATCAGTTCATTAGAAATATTTAATAAACATCTGAAGAAATAAAACCATAAAATGTTCTTAAATCTGTTAAACTCTAATGGTTAATGTAATAATGTCTTACAACAAGAAATCTGAAGTTTTCTTTTATAACCCTATCTTCAATATAACAATGCAATCGGTATTTTAAATTTGGTTGACTTACTACTTCATGAGGTAAGACCACAGTAATAAATGTTCAACTTACATTGGAGAGTGACTTGTCACCTGCCTGAAAAAGAAGAAAATTACCTTAGTATTTCAGTAATCAAATTATGGACAAATTATGGACAAATCAAAGTATATCTAAAAGACCACCTATATCAAGATGTATTCCAATATTAATTGTTCACTGTACCTCTGCATGGCACTCCAAAGAGTTCAAAGGAAACATGTATTAAGAAATAAAACAAACAATGCACAACTAAAGAGCAGCGTAATTCTTTCTCTCCTAATAATCATAGAGAATTTTCCCAACCCCTGCAGGGCAGGTATACTTGTCTCTAACTCCTAGAAAACACTTCTGCTTCCCTTTTTTGTATCTGCTCTTATTTACTTTTACTTAACTTTATTCTCTCTATTACCCACAATATATATATTTTAAGTTTATAGTGTCTCCTATGATATATTTTATTTTACTTATTTAATTGCTGATCTTACTCACTTGGCTCTAGGAAGGATTTGAGGCACCTTGCAGGCATATAAAATATCCCATATTCTGTGGCCTAATCCTTTTAAAATATAGGCATATACTGTGGCCTAATCTTTTCCTAACCATGGCAAAGTAAGGTTTGTTTTTGTTTTTTTTTTTAACCAGTGCCGATATGATGCCAAGTGTAAACGGTGTCGTTTCTTTGTCTGGATACATATAATTCACCAATGGATCATTGTTACACAGCCTCCCAACCCCTAATTTCCCCAAACAGCTTACACAAAATATTCTTTCCTTCCAAATGGCCAAATTAATAATGAGATGATAGTAACCACAATAAACAATAAAATTAGAAACAAGGATTATATAAATAAAAGATTTAAAAAAACTATTAGGAGTCTAAGGTTCTTCATACCTAGGTTTATATTTGAGAACGCAATTTCACAAGAAAAAATATTTATACTTACCAGCAGAGTAGGAGTTACAAAAGTGAGGCAAGGATTTTCCATGCCGCCGTAAGGGAAGGATGGCGGCAGGACCAGCAGGTCATACTGCCCCCAAACATATGGGCCTCCCAGATCTTCTGCAATTTTAAGCATAGACTCAGTCTGGAAAATTAATGCATACACATTTGTATGTCGTCATCATTACCATAACAGATTCTTAAAAGTACACACAGCTTCCTATGAAAGTTATGAGTTAACGATGCTTATTTTAAGTGAAAACAATGCAAAAAATGCAGTAGATGCACAGTCACATAAAGTCACATAAAATAAGACGTATTTGATTCTTTTACCACATCACTTAACCCCATCACATTTTAAATGTTTAAAATGGTTGTCTACCACAATTATTAAGAAGGGCGACTATGTGACCAACCTCAGAAAATTCGGAAGCTGACTTTTCCACCTGCTCTTTCTCAGACCATACCAATGTTCTTGGGCCAATTTGCCTGCAAAATTAAACAGCCTAGTAAAACAGAAATTCCAGGCAAATTACGCACCTGGTTCTAAGAAAGATATTTAAAGTACTGCACACAAATCCTTACAGGAGGAGTGTGATTTACCACGCGCCTAGGAGCAGGGCTGAGGTTCAATGTCCTCTCTGAGATACAAGCCTGCTTTTATAAGATACAAGATACAAGATACAGTGTGTGCTGCAACTGACACGCAGCTTTCTGAGATACAGTCTGGGCCAAATGAAAGCTGAGACACAGCACCCTCAAAGGTTAGTTTACAGGCTCTGGTCAGACATGTGGGACCTAGTTTCCTCCCTCAGTCTCACAGCTGTAGAAGCCCAGTCATAGCTCAGAGGTTACTCCACAACAGGGTGGATATAAACTTGGTTATGTGCTTAAAGGCTAAATGCTCTTATATAAAATAAACAAATAGAAAAGGAAGAAAGCCCTGTCATGTGCTACAACATGGATGAACTTTGAGGACATTATGCTAAGTGAAATAAGCCAGTTCCAAAGGACAGGCATTCTATGATTCCACTTATGAGATACTTTAAGTTGTCAAATTCATAGAAACACAAAGTAGAATGGTGATTACTAGGGACCGGGGGGAGCCAGAAGTGGGGAATTATTTAAAGAGTAGAGAGCTTCAGTTTTGCAAGATGAAGATGATCTGGAGATTTGATTCACAACAATGTGAATATAGTTAATACTACCAAACCATACGCTTAAAAATGGTTAAGATGGAACATATCATTTTTTAAAACCACAATAAAAAAGGAAGTAACAAATACAACTATATCACTTATACAGATCTTAAACTAAAATATATATACACCACAAAACCCCAAGCAACAAGACTTGCCTCGGTGTCCTGCCCCAGAGAGGCAGTAAACTCCATAGCAGTGCTTCTCAAACTTTAATGTGCTAACAAATAACCTGGGGAGCTCATTAAAATACAAATTTTGATTTTGTAGGTCTGGGATAGGGCCCAAGAATTTGCTTTTCTAACCAACACTCAGGTGAGGCCAAAGCTGTTGGTCTGCAGACCATACGGAGTAGCAACATTAACCAGCGCTGTCCAACATAAATGTAATGAAAGCCACAAATGAGAGCTACATGTGTAATTTCAAATTGTCTAGTGGCCACATTTTTTTTCAAAAAGCAAAATAAAACATAAAATTAATTTTAATATATTTTAAGCCAAAATATCCAAAATGTTATTGCAACCTGTAGTCAACATAAAAAAATGATTAAGTATTTTACATTTCTTTCATCCTAGGCCTTTAGAAAGTCCGTGTGTACTTCACGTTTACAGTACCTCTCCAGCCTCACGTGGATAGCAGCTGCCACACGGCAGCTGTACTAGAGAGCGCAGGCCTGCGCTGTGTGAGCTCACAGGACCTGGGTTTGTTTGGGTCTTGGCTCTGATATTTCCTGGCTACAGGACTCTAGTTACGACAACTCACCAACCACTGCTTTCTTCATTAGTAAAAGGGGAAAAACATAATCATATCTACTGTATAGAGATGTGAGAATTCAATGGGATAATGCTTTGGAGTTGGTACATAGTAAGATCTTTTTAACTGCTAGCTGCTGTGACAATTATTATAATTAGCATTTAGTCAGTGCCTCCTATAGGCCAGGAGCTTTATATATGTTAGGTCTGTTAATCCT